GCTGAACTGGACTAAAGGGTTGAAACTCAAAGTTTACTCTGCCAAAATCTAGCTATATGTTCCCCCTCTGTACTGCTCTGCTGGTGCAAAAGGGACAGAATCTTTAGGTAATCTACAGGTAGTACAGCTGTATCCCTCTCCAACCTTATACCACTTTCTAGGTTCCCAGGTGGGCCAAATATGAAGCAACAATCCACATCTGGCACAGCATTCTCTCCAGCTAGAGAAATCTGAGTAACCTAGCATAGCATCAAAGTTTCACATTTAGCCTATTCCATGTTTCAGCCATGGCCAACTCAGTCCTTTTATCAGGGAAATGTGAGGTGGGTCAGAAGACATTCCTTTTGTTAGATCCTGTGTCAACCATTCCTCAGCTGTACCTGGAGGGGATCTAGCCCACTGTGCTCATAAAAGAGGCAGTTATTTGGAGAGGAAAACCTTCAGCAGTGCCACCCAAATAAATTAGGATATAATTATACCCACCGCCTCAATGCCAGTAAAGAATACATTTCAGGTGCTGTGCAACAATATTTGAATCTACTTACAATAAACATAAAAAGTTTATTTGGAGTTTTACTTGTAAATGCACTCAGAAAGTTACCAAGTTTGATATCAATATGTAATAGGAACTGCTGAATATCTCAGAATCCATACAGAATCTTTTCTGCTTATCCCAGAAAAAGTTTCTCTGTTCTTCACAAAGCCATAACACATTGTTGAAAGAGGAGCTTTAACAGCAATGGGTTATTGCTCAGGTTCCTATGTGCTTTACACACCTAAAGAGCTTAAATAAATATGCTCCTTTTAAAGCTCTGATAGTACAGTACTGTTGTTTTGGAAGGATGTATAAAATACTTAATGTTAATGAAGTCATTATGGAAAATGAAACAAAGTATATTGATCTTGCAGATGATTTACAGATTTTTGAATAATAGCTGCTCTTATTTTAATAGGGATTAGAGGCTTCTCTCATTCCTTGGAGTCTCAGAACAGCAGAGACTTCCTATGCCTGAAGAAGGGTGATTGTACCTGAAAGCTTGCTGAGAACTTTTTTCCAACTACTCAGTTGGTATAATAAGAGACATCACATCTACCCAAAGAACCTTGCTTGCCTGTGTCCTTAGAGCAACACGGCTACAACCAAAAACCCAGCAGTTGGGATTAGAGTAATTTATGATACACTACCAAATTTTAGGAGCTAGATTTTTCAGGAATCTTCTGCACCTATAACAGAGCCAGACTTTCATAAAATTAAATTTCAGTCAGGCACCTACATAAAATGACCAAATATTAAGTACTCAGCAATTCTTATGACAAACAATGGGAGCTGGGCACATTTGAAAATCTGGCTTTAACAGTGTAAATTTTGAACTGGGGGTTATATTTAAAAATGCCTCCTCCCCCCTGAAATTCTGTAACAAATTCATCTATAGGAATTACTTTAAGCTTCATATCAAAGTATGCAGGTTCAGCATGAATTCACACTTCTAGCTGTCTGTTTTGTCTTAGCACACACCATCTTTCAGTACAGCTATAACCTCCAATCACCTTTTTGAAGCTTAGTTACTGTACACACAGGCTTCATCCAGACATGGTGTGGATGTTTGGTTCCCCAGGGATAACTAGTAGCTGTGTACCTTGGGCTGCTGCTAGTTGTCCCTGGGGAATGCCTGTGCCACGTGCACTCTGGCACATAGCAAGTTACCCCGGGTAGGGTAGGGATGCTGAGGCCAGCACTGTAATGGCTCCAGCAGCCTTACCTGGTGTCCTGGGCAGCCTCCTGGGGCTGCAGCAGCAGCGATTCTGCCATGCGGAGCCTGGCGAGCAGCTGCAGTACAGCTCTGCTTTTAAGCAGCGTGTGCTGCCCCACATGCGCTGCTCTGTTTTTTTGACCCCTGGATAGTCAAGGCTCAAAAAATCCCTCTGTGCTGCTCCCTTGCAATGTGGAAAACAGCTGAACATGTGGTATGTGGCACTGCAGATGTGTCTGTAGCACCACATACCACATGGCCGCGCTCATCTGGACACGGCCACAGGGTGCATCGATCTACACATGCACTTTACTACAGAGATGACTAACTAGCTCAACAGTAAAGTCACTGGCTACATGTGTGCCCATATTAGGTGGCAGTTAACTCCACTGTAGGATAGTACTGTCCGGGACAAGTACTTTCCTATAGTGGAGTAGTTACATGCACCAAAACACCTGTGTAGATGATGACTGGGGCTGGCTGGGACACAAGGGTGCTACAGTGTGGGGGCTACCTGCTGCCTTGCCCCACACTAACACCCTTCTGCTCCAGCCAGCCCCTCTGCAGCACACTGAGCTGGGCAGGAGCAGCTCTGAGCTGGCAGTGAGCTGGGGATCCTCTGCCCCAGCTCAACGTGCTGTGGTCCTGGGTGCATGTGTAAATGCTGCACCTGGAAGCAATGAACTCTGGCACAAACTACACCAGAGTATATTGCTACTTGCTAATTACATGTGTAGGGTAGTAATAATTACTACCCTGAAAGTATTACTGGGTAGTAATATCAGAAATGTATTGAAATTCCAGGTTTTACCTGCCATTGTCACAAGTAAAAGATTACTGAGGAAATATCAAGAGGGCTGAACAGCTGAAGACACTGGTAATATAAAAATCAATGATTTTACCTCTAAAGTATTTCTTTCACATTTGAAACACTGCTACCACGTGGTACTAACTGATACCTCATGTCAAGTGAACTCATTTCTATCCAATCCCCAGTAGACAAGCATCCACACACAGGACTGATAGTACAACTGGTATTCTTAGAGACTATAGAAATTAGCCCTCTTGTTTTCTGACAAAGTGCCCTCCAGGTCAAGACTGATATGGCAAGCTTCCAAAACACCTGGCTATAGTTGTATTTTTCAGGGGCAGGAATGGGAAGGGGGAGGTCAGTCTTTTAGCTGCTCAAAAAGGTACCTCTTGACAACGTTAAATGGGCCCAGGAAGGAGGGAGGACAAAACCAAAACTATATATTCTACTAGCAAGTCAATTTGTGGGCTTCACAATGTGCTGGCTGCTAGTAGACTATTTACTTTGCTCCCCATCCTTCCTGTAATATGCCCTTGTAACTCTGAGCTGTAGCAGACCTTACTATGATCACTAACTTTCAAAGGAAGCTTGGTTCAATTATTAAAAGCTTTTCCAAGTCTAACAAAGAAGCTTAGCTGCCTGACCAACTACTCATCTCATTTTCAAATCAAAAACAGGAGGGCAGCCACACCTGGCTAGGAAGTAAAAGAAGACCTCTCATTGTTCCACCCTCTCTCCTCTCATACTGAAGTTAGCCTGATTTCAAATGTTCAATAATCGTTGTGTCAGGAAAAAAAAAATCTTTACAAGGCAAGAGAAACAGAAACAATGATTCTCAAAACAGAGAAAAGTAGTCAGAATGGCAGAGTATACTTGCTTTCCAAGAAAATCTGCTAGTTTAGACCAGCTATTTATCCCCATAGCCTTTTGCCAAGGATGAATTACATTTTAAATGGAAACTGTTTGACGATCTAGTGCAGCCCCTTACTCTGATCAAGTATGAAGGCAGCGTTGCTTTGTGCCACTTCGTAGCCTTGTTCTGCCAATAGGAGATACTGAACCACAGCAGAATTTGAATCACCATCTTTATAGCTATTGTAGGCAGTCATGAGCCGCTCAGACCAACGCCCTCGTTCACATACATTCTTAAATAACTGCAAGGGAAAAAACAGCAGTAACAACAATATAAAACAAAACACACTGTCAGCATTTTTTTCAGAAGAAGCTTGTTTCTGAGGTACAGCTTTAAGTAGTCTGCTTATGCAGATATACTAGGGGCTGCAGAAGGTGGAAACAGTATAACCTAGATACCTCATGGCACAAGTTAATACTCAAGCCAAATAACAGAAGGACTTAAGATGTAAGCAGACTCAAGCCAGTAAGTAAAAATGTACTGCATCTGATAATGTACAGGGCCTCATCTAGCATAATTCTGCATGCCAGTGGAGGTGTCTATTCTAACCTCAGTCATATGGAAAAAACAGCCTAACCCAAGAAGAGAAAAGAAAACATGGGAGTCCAAGGCAAGGCAACACAATAACAACAAAATAATGACAGCTCTACTGCGATCAGGTAGGGCTCTTGTTTTCAGCAAGGCCATTTCCATTTCATCTGTTCACATGCAGGCCCAATACATTTCAGAAAAGCTGATGCAAAATCCACCAGCTACTATAGAACAGAGCTGCATTTTTCTTATTGAGGTTTCAAGCAACAAGTTATTATTTTGCTCTGAGGTTTCAAGCAACAAGTTATAAAATTAAAATCTGCATCTTTTCCTTGCTGGGAATTCAGTGCTAAAATAAATGAAATTTTTGTTTTTCTTATTTGCTTTCTTGCTAAATCCTTCTATTTTTTTCTAATTTAAAGTGAAACTATTGCAACATTTCCAGTATGCTGTAACAGAATAGCACCAAATCTAGAAGTCTTGCCTTGTATTATCAACCTCTGCTGCATTCCGTAAGTTTTACGAAATACAGTCTTCACTCTGCAGGCAAAATATACCACTGATGTAAGAGGGCACAAATGTTGCCTGTAATAATTCTCTCTCAACCAAAGCTAATTGTAAGTTTATGAAGAGAGGTACTTACTTCAACAGCAGTATGACAGGATCGCATCACTCCAGTGCCGGTAGCATGCATTTGTGCTAAATTATAGAAAGCCAGAATGTGACCACCTTGGGAAGCCAAGTTAAAGTATTTCAAAGCCTGTTTATAGTCTCTCTTGACTCCAATCCCATCTACAAAAGAAAGACTAGGTTAACACTGTTTATTGGTTTGGATACCCTGCCAAGCAAAATTGCAAATAAAATAAAAAAGACGACTTGTTTTTATAGTTAAAAGTAGCTGAAAGCAAATTGTTATTAAAATATCAAGTAACATCAACAGTAGCAGGAACATGCTTTACCATTTACTGAAGAGGAATTGATCCTAGATGCTCAACCCCTGCCTGCAGCATCATGTCATCTGGATCTGGAAGCTTGGCAGTGGGGGAGCAGTGTCCCTGTTCCCCCGCTGCCAAATTTCCAGACTTGTGGGAAGCCTCAGACCTTGTGCGCTAGATTGGGAACCTAATTTCAGCATGCAGGACTGAGTTAGGGGGGTGACACTAGGCCCCGGGGGCCCAACTGCAGTCGGTAGGGGTGATGTCATGATCCTAGTGGCCCAATTCCAGTGTGCATCCGGGGTAGAGGTGGTGTTGGGCCCTAGGAACTGATTCTGGTGCATGGGGCTGGATCTGACCTGCTGACTGGCCCCACACCACTTATTGGGCCCACTGAGCCCAAGGTTTAAGTACTACTGCATTAAGCAATCTAAATTCCTGCAATAAACATATCAACTCATGCCTAGTGCTCCACTGACATATAGTGAACATTTAATGGACTAGCAAAACCCTTTAGTTTCTGCAGATCCATCACCTATTCTGAAGCTACTTACTGTAATACATGGAGCCCAGCTGCAGCTGTCCGTCCACCCATCCCTGTTCTGCAGCTTTCTGGAAATATTTCAGTGCCAGTTCATAGTTCTGTAGAAGAGCCAGTCATTAGAGCCAACCATGACAGCATGGTAAGGAGCTATATACTGATCAAAACAAAGGACTTGCATCCCTGTGCATCTAGAATCGATTATACAGCCCATAAAACTTAACATGTTACAAGAAAATGGTGTAAAACATGGTATACATGTTTTTCCATCCAACCATGTTGAAAATTACATTTAAACACAAAGGAACTATTATTCTATTGGGAAGACTATGCAATGATATTCTTACTTGACAGATCCACTCAGTAGTGTTTGCTGACAAGTGTACACAACAGTACTTATTAACAATCAACTGCCCCACTTGTCTTACAGGTTCTCCTAATTTCCTCTTCAGAAAGTATTTCTAGTAACTGTAGGACACAGTCATGTACCTTCTTGTGAATACCTAGTTAATTTATATTAAATGGGATAGACATGCTGTACTGTTTCAGAAGCCAGCAGCTCTGTAAGCACTTATCTACACTATTTAGCTTTGAACTAGTTCAACAATACCATTGAGAAATCTGTTTTTGAACAGCTGAATATATACAGAGCTCCCCTGTATATGGAAACACTGGCAAGGTAATTAAACAAGCAGTTGACCCTTCAGTGTTCCATAAAGTATAGACAACAAACTTACATCCCAGAAGGCAAAGCACAAAATGAGAATAATTTAGACTTGTGAACCATATTTTAGGAGGAAAAATAAAACACTTTCTGAATCTAGCTATAAGAATTATTTTTGTGATGCAACTAGACATTAAAGCATGAAACACATCAGATGGGAAAGGAAAGTCATTTTATTACTATACTTTCAATTCCAAGACAACAACACTTTTATCTGTCACCTACCAGAGTTTGAGTTTATTCACCAAGATCAGGGTTAAGAAGATATTATTCAAACTCACCACTGGAACTCCTCTTCCATATAGATAAGCCATTCCTAGTCCACTCTGCCCAACTGGATTACCCTGAAAATAGAGGAACACACTTCTGGGAAAAAGAGGGACTTTGCTATGAGTGTGTGCAGTCTTTAATAATCTTGGATACTTACTGGGTTGTGTACTGCTTAAGATGAACAGAATTTTATAAACTTAAATGTCATAGTCTGTTTAAGCCCTGTACTAGCAGCGTCTCCCAAGTATTTTCCCCACTTCATTCTGTTTCCACTCCAGTGATTTCAGTGGAAAATGAGGGCATGTGATACTAGTGGTGAGATTTTGTGTTTTACTTCCAAAATAAAGTATGGTACTTGCAATTCAGGGGGAAAAGCAGATAAGGCAGCTTTGGTCATCTTTGTGCCATCTAAATCCTGTGCTCTGGCAGCTGGATAGATTACAAATAAACCAGATCCAGTCTGTGGACTGTATGTCTGATACCCCTGAGTTAAAGGACATTATATTCAGGTCTCCCATATCCTAAAGCTGTGTTCTTACCACTGGGCTCTTTTGTGATGGGTTATTTTGCACAAAGCAGAAAATCATTGCAAGCCTTGGCCTTGTCTCAATGCAAAACAGGAAACATTTGAAAACGGGAAATTTTTGCGGGATAGGAAAACACTTCCTTAGCCAAGAATGTCCTATCTTTGACCCTTTTATTTTAACTTGTAAGCAAACATACCATATCTGCAGCTTTCTTGAAATACTGAAGAGCAGTCTCATTGCTCTGAGGTACAACATCACTTCCTTCTGAATACATCTAGAAGACATAAGTAGGGTTAATCATTAAGAAAGAGGTATATCATTTAATTTGGGGTGGATAAGATTAAGAACCTTAACTGGCTTTTTATGTGATGTTAAATGCTTGTTTTATTGGTGGCTAATGAAACATTAAAATATTATGTGTTAAAATATGCACTAAATATTATGGTCTTTAAGCTCTTAATTAGTTGTCTCAAGGGGTGTCTGTGGTGTCTGGGAGGGGTGGCACCTTCAGAGAAAGAGTATGTTGTGCTTGCCTGAGTGACTCTTCCTCTGTTGGTCCTCACCAGCACCCAACTCTCACCTGTGGCTCCAAGTAGCTGTCTGCATGCAACAACAGCCACACCCCGGTAAACTGCCTCGATGGGTGGGCCAAACCAGGTGAGGGTACTCTGTCAGTCTCTAGACCTCTGGGGAGATAGGGACATGCCTATCCCTGCATTCAAAGTCTGACTCCGGCTGACTGGGCAGACAAGACCCTTGTATGGTCCAATGGCCATGATGGCAATACAGCAATGCGTGGTGGATCGCACAGAGCAGGAAAAGACACAAAAGATGTCCTGGTCATTTGCTACACCTGCGCCAAATTCCAGCTGTCTTGACACTGTCCTGCCACTGGTTACCTACTGACTCGGACAAGAGTGAGGCCAATGCTGCATAACTCTTCCTCACTCAAACCCAAATCCTGCGCAACTCACATCCAGCACAAGCCCTCTGGCGACAGGCCAGTGACGAAGCAGCTGGTGTGGACACACTAGAAGCTGTAGCCGCAAACCTGCACATAGGCGGCTCCAGGCTTTGGGTCACTTTCTACTGGACAGAAGCAGCAGTAGAACTCAGCAGCCCCCTGAGTGACTGAGCAGCCCTATTCAGGACTGCACTGCTCACCTCCTAGAATAAGGAAGGGGCTAGAAAAGGTGCCCCAAACATTGTCTGCTTCACCTCACCCTGGCCAGCATGCCGTGGCTGGCAGGGGTCCCGCTACAGCAGTCGAAAAGAAAAAAAAAAAAAAAAAATCAATCTCCCTCTAGCTGGGTGCGTGGAATGTATGCATGCTGATTGACAGAAACACCACCAGACATGAAAGGAGAACTGCCCTCATCAGGAGAGAACTGGGCAGATACAACATCCAGATCACTGCCCTCAGCAAGACTCACCTACCCGACAAAGGGCAGCTCGCAGAAGGAAAAACTGGTTACACATTCTTCTGGAGTGGTTGTGGCAGCAAAGCCAAACGGGAAGCAGGTGTTAGCGTTGCTATATAAAACAGCCTAGTCAAGAAGCTGACCTACCTGCCTAAAGGAATGACTGACTGACTGACGGTGCTCAAACTCCCCCTGCTCAGCAAAAAGTGCACCACTATCATCAGTGCTTATGCCCCTATCATGACCAACTCTGATGAAGTCAAGAACCAGTTCTACAATGACCTTCACTCTGTGATCGCTGCTGTACTGAAGTCTGACCATCTCTTCCTCCTTAGTGATTTCAATGCCAGAATTGGCTCTGGCTGCCAAGCATGGGATGGCATCATCGGGAAGTACAGAATCAGAAGCTGCAATAGCAATAGTCTTCTCCTACTCAGACTATGTGCTGAACATGAGCTTCTGGTTACAAACACTGTGTTCCATCTCCCCAACTGGAAGAAGACATCACAGATGCACTCTCACTCCAAGCACTGGCATCTCATCGACTATGTCATCGTCCAAAGGAGGGACAGACATGATGTCCATGTAACCAAAGCTATGTGTGGCACCAACTGACTCCTCACCTCCTCACTAAAGATCACTATTCAAACCAGATGGCATCCACAAACATGAAGTGAACCGAAGCACCTCAACACTGCAGGGCTGATAAACAACAGCACCAGGCTATCTTTCGTGAACCATTTGAAAGATCAGCTTCACACTACACCACTCCATTCCAGCTCCATCGATGCCTACTGGAAGCAGCTCCATGAAGCTATACACTCTGCAGCTCTTGAGACCCTGGGACCAAGCATCCGCAGACACAAAGACTGGTTTGATGAACATGATGAGGAGATTACAACAGGTGCTGGAAGAGAAGCAACGTCTCTACAGAGCCTACCTCTATAAGTCTGTGTCAGCACAACACGACTACAGCTCAGTACAGACCATTCATCCGGCACTATGCTGACTGCAACGATGCAAAGTTCTTTGATGCCCTAAAGGCTGTCTATGGTCTGCACATCCTTGGATCCTCCCCTCTACTGTCCGCCAATGGAACCATGCTATTAACTGACAAGGCCCAGATCCTCCAGAGATGGGCTGAACACTTCAGTGCTGTCCTCGATTGGACCTCCTCCATCAACATGGACACCATATGCAAGCTGCCTCAAATGGCCATCAACAGCTCACTTGAAGCTCTGCCTACAAGTGTGGAAGTCCAAAAGGCTATGCAAATGTATAGTGGCAAAGCTCCTGGAGCCAATGTGATTCCAGCAGAGGCCTACAAATTAGGTGGTCACAGCCTCATGGAGAAACTAACCAAGATCTTCTGCAGTACATGGGTGCAGGTGGTAGCCCCTCAAGAATTCAAGTATGCCTCCATCGTCCACCTGTACAAGAGGAAGGGAAATTGCCAACTCTGTGACAACCACGGGGGTATCTCCCTCCTCTCAACTGCCAGCAAGATTCTCATGAGAGTCCTCCTCAACCAGCTGACTAACCATCTCAATGACTTACTGCCCGAGAGTCAACACGGCTTCAGAAAAGGATGTGGAACCACCGACATGGTGTTTGCAGTCTGGCAGCTTCGAGAAAAGTGCCAGGAGCAGAACATCCACCTTCTCCTCATGTTCGTCAACCTAACCAAAGCGTTTGACACAGTGAACTGCGAAGGCCTCTGGGAACTCATGAAGTAGTATGGATGCCCTGGAAAATTCATCAATATGGTTTGACAGTTCCATGACGGCATGATGGCACATGTCCTTGTGAATGGCAAATGTTCCGACTCCTTTCTGGTCACAAATGGCATCAAGCAGGGCTGTGTGCTCACACCTACACTCTTCAGCATGGTATTCTCTGCCATGCTGTTGGATGCCTCCCAAGATGATGACCTTGGTATGGGGATTCCAATGGAGACATCTTCAACCTGCACAGAATCTGAGTGAGCTCTAAAGTCCAGACAGCCATGCTTTGCGACTTCCTCTTCACTGACGACTGTGCATTATGCGCAGGCTCAGAGGCTGACATGCAACGGTCCATGGACCAGTTCTCATCAGCCTGTGACAACTTCGAACATACTATCAACACAAAAAAGACTGAAGTAATGTTTCAACCTGCGCCTGGCACAACACCCCAGGAACCACGTCTCAGTTAAAAGCCAACAACTGTCGATGGTCAACAAGTTTGTCTATCTAGGCAGCACACTCTCCTGTACTGTCCACATCGATGACAAAGTCAACGCAAGGCTAGCAAAACCCAGCGTGGCCTTCGGCAGACTCCATAAGTTGGTGTGGGACCTCAGAGGCATTGAAACGTCGATGAAACTGAAGGTTTACAAAGCTATCATTCTCCCAACCCTCCTTTATGCCTGTGAAACCTGGACTGTCTACCAGCGACATGCCAAAAAACTAATCCACTTCCACCTGTGCTGCCTGTGAAAGATACTAAAGATCAAATGGCAGGACAACATTCTGGACACCGAGGTGCTCAGAAGATCATCTCTCCCCAGTAACCACACCCTACTGAAACTGGCGCAGCTAAGATGAGCCAGCCACCTTTCAAGAATGCTTGACACTCACCTGCCGAAGAAAATCTATGGCAAACTGTCAAATGGAGTACGCTTTCGTGGCACACCAAAGAAGCGGTACAGGGATACCCCAAAGATGTCCCTAAAGAGTTTTGGCATTGATCCGGAGTTGTGGGAGCAAATAGCTCGTGACCATCTATCCTGGAGGTCACTGGTTCAGAGTGAAGCACTGGCCTTCAAGAAGCGGCACACTGCGGAGGCAGTGAGGAAGCACGTGGCCAGGAAAACAAGGATGTCTTGTGTTTAATCCTCATCGCTCTCCTGCCCCTGCTGCAGCAGATTGTTCAGGGCAAAGATTGGGCTTATAAATCACCTGCGTACCCAAACAATTTAGCCTCCACCCCCCTCCTCTCTCTTCTTTCTCCTTTTTCCCCTCTTTCTCCCTCCCTTTTTCTTTCCCACTTCCTTTCCCCCTCCCCTTGCCCTGCCCCAGATGCAGTCATCTTCACTTGCGAAGGACAAACAACTAGTTGTCTCAAAACTCCCCCTTAAAAACCCAAAAAACCCACCACCACAAAAACACACACACTTAAGAAAAGAAATTGCTAATCTCAAATTAAAGAATGCACACTGCACATCCTAAAGTTCAGCTACCACAGTGCTCTAGTAACAGCAATGGATACTATATACACACACATAGCTAACATGCCAGAGCAGTGTTAAAGTCACCAGAACAGGCCAGAAATCTTGTACAACTAAGGCTGTAAAATGGGGGTAAAAAGTGGGAGGGGGAAGAAATAACTCCACAATTGGAATATTAAAAATTCTGCACCTTCCACTAGAACACCTAATGGTATCCATTGGCTGTCACAAAGGGTGTCTATACATGTGCTCTGGGGTCGGGAGAGGTATGTGGGGGGAGGGGGTGCAGTTTAATTAGAGGCTCTCTGGAGCCACTCTAATTAAAATGTCCACAACATCTTGTGTATTCAGTGTCCCATGCTTCAAAACGGCAGCAATGCTTTAACTAAAGCTCGTATGATGAAGTTTAAAGCATCTCCACCATCATTTTGAAATGTGAGGATGCTGAATATATGTGACGGGGCGGCTATTGGATTGTTCCAATTGGGACAATCCAGCAGACTCAATTAATTAGAATGCATCCAAACAGGCGTCAAGCATGTGTACAGGCACCCAAAGATACCAGACAAACTGAACCACGCAGCTTGATCCAGCATAGTAATTCTTAAGTTGGATGCTCACAGAAACAATCGTACACTGGAGGAGCACATTTAAAAAAAAAGTGCTGCTCCACAGCAAAAAGCCTACTCATAGTGAAATGGAGACCTAAAAGGTTAGCATTATTTCAGATAATGGAACTAACACTCAGCTTTATTAGTAATGTTACAACAGATCTATGATGACAGAGTAAACTATTCACTGGAGAGCTTCTTCAGGAAAAAACCCTGCTAAAAACAAAACAAAACAAACAAACAGCTTGTTCTTTGAGTGGAAAAATACCACACAACCTTTGCACAAAACTTGACTCCTTGCAACCTGAACAGATCCCAAGTGTTTCAAACTGGAGAACGCAGAGCCAGATCCAAAAAACACCCTGCTCAGCAGCTGCCAAACCCTGAATTTGCCTAACTGGCTAGGCATCTTTTTTTTTTTAATCTAAAAAAATAAATTTTTTAGCAGCTAGCAGTTACTTCTGCACATGTTAAGAATGGCTTCAGCCTGAACAGGTAGACACCTATCTCTTGCCTAAGCCTCATGGGGGGTTCAGAAACCAGGTCAGAGTAGTCCCTAAATTATTTGAAGGGCTAACTGGGTTGATAACAATAGACAACTTGCAAAATGTAATCACAGCCCCTTTCTTTTTAAAATTAAAATGGTAGTGGATAAGCCCACTTCATTATATAACAGTTTCATGACTACAGCACTTTTCCAGAAGTGGGGCCCCTCTCAGTCTATGGGGTTCCAGCCCACATGTTCAAAGATGTGCCCTAACCAGTGGTGCAAGGGGGTTTTCCACCCCTTTTGTTGAAGTTGTGCTACTCTGTGGCATGGAATGCAAGATTCATGGAGCCAGAAGGAGAAAGCACAAGAAGGATCCCGTGTCGTTTAGTGGTCTGGACATTCATTGGGGAAGGTTTCTATTCTCAGATTACTTCTTAATATAAAGTAAGCAAGCAGTCCTTTTATACCAAGCACCTAAATAAGGATTGGAGCAGTTAGATACTCAATTATCACAGTTTTCAGGAGCTTGCAATTAACCTATCATCTCTTACAGAGACAGCAAGATTTGTGTTCTTTGGAAAATGCTCATGTTTTACCTTTCCTAGGAAGGCCATAGCGTGAGAATTACCAGCATTAGCTGCTTGATTGAAGTATTCAAATGCTCTCTGTAATAAAATACCCGTAAGTATGTCAGTCAATAAAAGCATACATACACACCACAAATTTCAAAATACCAGTCACCTAATAAACAGCACTGGATGACAATACGCCAGGAAGGAAAAGGAATTAAAATGCATAGAAGAGGTGATATATTTTATTAGACCAACTAGATATTTGCAAACAAATTATTTTATTTATTTGCAAGTTTTCGGGCATAAATGATTTCTTCTGCCTCTAGACCAATACAGCTACAACCTGGATACCAGGAAGGAAATGCATTTTTTCTTCTTCTAGCTCTAGTGTAACTTTAAGAGATTCTACATTAGGTTCCATTGGCAAAGGTATAATACCAAATATTACTTGTGATGTACAGAAAGGATTCCAGGATAAGGATGAACATTTCTATTCATGCCATAAATTAGTGAGAAATAGTGTGGTGTCAGGGCTGGAGAGCGGAGCAGTTCCCCGGAGCCGACAGAGCCCGCGAAGCGCTGCTCACTGGCTACTAATGAAAAAATATTGAGCTCTGCAGCAAGCTGTTCAGGAGACAGAAGCCCTTAATCTAAAAGTTCTACACCAGGTAATAGAATTGCTTTTTATATTTAAAAAAAAATCTGTATTTAAATTCAGAACTGAAGTGAGTCCAAGTAGAATATTAAAAACAACACTTGGTATTTTATCCTCTTATAAACAAAACAAAAATAGTTCTCTTATCATTTGTACTGCAGAGCACTGTATTAAATCAGAATTTATGTTGGACAGTGATTAAAAATAAATCAGACCGCTAAATGGAGCAGATAAAAGTATGGCTGTTGTTTATATTTTTAATTTTGACAAAAAATACTTCTCTTCAAAATCATTATCTGTTCCTCACATCTCAGATTCTCTTTGGCACTTTACCCCATTATATGGGGAGGAGGAGAGAGGGAAGACACTGTGCCGTAGCAAGGTGGGGGCAAGCAGGATGACTGCCCTGGGTGCTGAAGCGAAGGGGCGCTAACAGGTGCTGTCCAGCCAGTGTGGGGCATGGGATGGAGCCATGAGCAGCTCATTTGGGGTGCACGGGGAGGGCGGCTCCCACTGCTGCATGCACGGACAAGCATGAGGGAACTGCTCCACCAGCTCCGAAGCGGTGCGCTCACAGACCGAAGCAGTGCGCTCACGGACCGCTACTCCTTAGAGGGAACATTGACATTTTTGTCTTCTAGCTCTGAGTAACATAGGGAGTTTCTCCAGATCCATTCAGCAATTAAATCTACATAGTAAGGAGCCCCCCACAAACTGGGTATAAGTTGGTAACCCCCTTGAGCCTGGCATGTCACAAAAATCATAAGAAACAATGTTACATTCATTTACAAGCCCCAAACCTAACACTCCTAGATGAGTGTCTAGGCAGTTTTTTCAACATTCAACTTCATATGAATAGGAAAGGCTCATTTAAGTAAAGATAACTTTTGTAAGAGTTCAGTTTAGTCAGCTTCATAGTTGCTGGGTCTAACAGGCTTCCTAGTTCTAAGCTCTTGATTAGTAGCTGAGCAATGAGTGGAAACTTTTTATCTATTTGGCAGTCACAAAGATCTCCATTTTCCATTATATAATTTTTAAAAATCTGTTTTATTCTCCCTTGCAGCATAAAGCAATAGAGTACACTAAGCCCTTGGCAGTTTCATTTCACACATTTTTCTGTTTTTTTCATCATGAAAACCTGTATTTGTTGTATGGTAACACTTGTGTCAACATGAACCAAATTTTGGTGTTATTACATGCATCTAAAGCATTATGAATAGCCTGCTATCATGCATGCGAAGGTCAGTCACAGCCTGAGATATGCAATATTGCCTGCTGTACTGAGATTTAGTCTGGCTCTCTGCATTTTAACTTCCTTACTTCTTTCACTATTGTTGTAAACCAGTGGTGCTAAAGCTTTTGGTTCTGCAGGCCAGATGACTGGTGTAGGGCCAGATCAAACTCTGCATGTGAGGATTGGGCCCTGGGGACTTGCTACAGTCCAATTCTGGCTTCTCACACCAGGATTAGGCCCTAGGGCCTGGCACTGCTTCACATGCCAGGACTGGGTCCTAGGGCCCAGTGTTACCTGCCTGGCTCTGCCTGCTGGGGTCAGGCACCTGATTCAGTGCACAGGGCCTGAGCTTCCCCATAAGTCCAGAAATCTGGCAGCAGGAGAGGGGTGCTACTGCCCCTGCCAACAGGTTTCCAGAACCATGGGGAGACCCATGGGCCCGGTGACAATGCCATTAGCCGAATCTGGCCTGTAGGCTAGGGGTTGAGAACCCCTGTTGTAAAAGAAAAATCATGTCTAATTAGATTGTGCTGATCAGAACGGCATATACAGCCAGCTAGGATATCATTCAACTGTGATAAGCAGCAAGCAATTTAGATTACTCTTTTAATGTTTTTTCTCCCTCCAACTTATCATTACTCATAAAGGATGCAAAATAGGTACCTGGTGATTTTGCTCTACTCCTCTTCCTCCATGTAAGTGTAACTGCCCAAGGCCAACCTGAATATAAAAACAAAGACTTAAATTACACATTTAATGATACGCTTAATCCATGTAGAAACAAATCAATTACAGCACAAATAAATGAATCACACCAAGATACAGCATACCAAGCTGTTTATACAGTTAAAGAGAAAACAAAGGAAAATGTTAAGAACGTTTCCTCCCTTAGTCAAAACATAATCTGAGACAAAAAGATGAGTAAAACAAATAAGATATCTACTACAGGTGTAATGCCCAATATCTAAATTCTTTTGTCTATCTCCTTTTTTTAATCCCAGCCAAACAACTATTTACTTGTTGTGAGCCTATGTGCTTCAAAACATGAACTGGAAGAGCCATTGTATTTTCAATGTATTCTTTGCCAAGACTGTCAAAGCAACCAATTAATGAAATCTGTGATACAAACACCTACTCTATTGGCAACCTGGCAGAAGACATCAAGCTTCACATGTGATGGTCATTAAATTTAAATAATTTTCTAGAAGAGACTACATAAACTAAGAATTAAACAGGTTTCTCATAAATATACAATAAAAGTTAACTGCAGAATGACAGGCAACACTAGAATTACTGCTAAGAATCTCACTTTAATGACCATCATGTATTTGGGCTTCTTGAGAAGTTCTGATCCCCTCCTATTTACCATATTTACTCAATTCTATGAGGAAGTTCCCCTCATTTATCATGGGGGGAAAAGGCTCATCCTCTTAGAATTGAGTACTTGGAGGGGGGTAGGGTGGGAGATGGCTGCTACAGCTTGGGCTCCAGGTAGGGGTACACCGATAAAGATTTTCTTGGCCAATACTGATAACCGATTATTCACCAGGCATATCGGCCGATACCGTTCCAATAACCGATTTACAGAATGCAGCTGGGCGGTGTGGAGAGCAGGGCCCTGCAGGTAAGTTTGTGGAGGGGAACGGACATAGCGGGGGGGGCAGGCAGATCAAGACCCCCATGGTGAGGGAGGGAGTGGGACAAGGGCTGGGGGTGCTGCCCAGACAGGGCAGCAAGTAGGACCCTGGGGCCAGGGCAGGGAGCGGGACAGAGCTGCAGGTGGCTCATCCAAGGGATCAGTGTCCGGCACTTAAAAATGGCAGTGGGAACGCTTGAACATAAAGCTTGTCAAATGAGTTTTAGTTCAAGCACCACCACCACCACTTTCAAGTGTGGGGATGCTTCCAGCCGGAGCAGAGCAGGGTGAGGGTAGAGGCAAGCTGCCCACTGTGGGCTCAGGGCTCTCCATCTTGGTGCCTTTGTCCCGGGAGCCACACGCAATTCCTCTGCCTGTCCAGCAGCAGGAGGCACAACTCATCACTGCCCCGTAGCAGCAGTGCGCAGCCCAACAGAGCTGCTACAGGAGCTGACCTGGAGCTGTGCTCAGTGTCTTGGACTAGAACGAGGACAGAGCCCAAAGCAATGGGAGGTTAAGGGGAGCAGAGGCGGGGGTGGGGTGGGGTGGGGGGGTGGAGGTGAAGGGTAACAGGCACAAGCAGGAGGTAAGCTACTTAACTTCCCCACATCAGCTACACCCCCACAGCGGTGGGGAGGATAAATTAAAGATGACCCCCCCAGTAACTAGATTCTATACATGGAAAAATTATAACAAAATTGATTCATTTTCCATGTATAGAACATAATTATAGTAAGGGGTCATCTTCAATTCAGGGTTGGCTTTTATTCAAGTAAATACAGTATATAGTGAAAGTCCCCTGGTTTCTATTTAACTGCATCACTGCTTTCATACATGCTTGCTTTCCTGCTGGACCACAGACCTCTCTATTGGGTCACGTACATTGTGATAATGAGCCTTCTGATCAAAGATCTCTTTATAATGGCTAATGCTGCTCCTAAAAGAAGCAGGGAGTGCTGAGAAATTCTCTCTCTCAGAAAGTAAAGAGAATAACCATCAGAAAACTGTTTGAAAGAATTTTGTTTCCCACAAAAATAATTAGAAAAAGAAAGCACTCAGAACATTTGTCAAACTGAAATTCACCTTAAAAATTCAACAGTTATTTAAGTCAGACCTGTACTGGAAAAATTTAAAATTATTTTCCCATCTAAAACAGTTTTGGTGAACACTGCCAACCATACAAGTAATAATTTTGGCTTGGGAGCAAAAAAAAAAATTGAGTCTAATATTTTCATAACCCTGCAAATTGTGCATATGCTTCAATCGTTTCTGGGAGCTTTTCATCTTACCAGACTGGCCATACCTGTGCTTGTACATCTCCTTTCTCTGCTAGAAACTGGTAATATTGAATCAAATCTTCCTCCAGCATCCCACTGGCCATTCCTGGATTTTCTACTTCGTCTGCTAGACGAATTCTCTGCACCACCGTGCCTCCAGTCAGAGATATATCACTAGCAACTGGAGAGATGAGAAGAGGAAGAAAAAAAAAATATTAGCACACTAAGAGATACAAGTCAAGTAATTTACAGACACATTTTAACTAAGAACTACATTTCTGGTATACCAATAAAGTAATATGATTTAGTATAGCCAATCAGCACCTCCATCAATCTTACTTTTCTCAAAGAGTAAGTTTGAAGTACATGAGCATCTTTCAGAATTAAGAGTACTATTAGAATTGGAGGCTGTTATAAAATTAGTCTTCAGAATCCATATAAGCCAAGATAACAATATCATTCTAAATCTTAAAAAACCTGGTATCTTTCCATTAAAATTTAGCAGACATTTTATGCAATTATAGATCTACATCTTAGATACGCATTTGGCATCTGTCGGTCTCACAAAACACAACTGCACCAAGGCATTAGCCCAACGTGCAGAGGAAAGAAACCTCAGGAGGAACCTGCACCACATTCAGTATTGTTTGATACAAACATCACAGGTGATAAGTGCGGAAGGGAGTGCCATTCAAGAATTGGGTTTACAACTATACTTGCAGATGTTTAACTGATACTTGTATCTTAGTTAACAAGAAAAAAAAAGATACCATGATTAGCTACAAGTCGATAGTGAGTGAGAGCAGATTCACAGCTCTGAAGGACTCCTATCCCAGCCCAGTATCGGTAACCCTGGAAAGATGATATGAAATACAAAGAACCATTAGTTGTTATGCACACACTTACAAGCACATTGGCAATTAAATAGCCAGACATGTTCAAGTCACTTAAAATTTTTCAGAGCAGAAAGAAAGTGTTTAAGTTTAGACAAGGTCATAAACAAAACTGAAACCATAGCATTTTGAAGATGTCTACCAGTTGCTTTTAAATAAAAATGAAGGCCAGATCAGCCGACAATGTTTGAATTTTGATCCTTCCTGGGACAGGGAGGGAACCAACTAATACATTTTGTTCAAAGGCTAGAAACGTATCCTATTCTATTTGCTGTCTCTACTTAAATCAAAATCCTGTTTTCATCCAACAGCTTTACAGTTCTTTGGTTCCCACTATTGTATACAACCATTAAACTTACGAACCTGATTATGTAGGATGAAGCCAAAAGATACTCCACTTAAGTACAGAGAATGCACAAGAACAAAAACAGTGATAGCCAAGTGTTTTCAAGCCTTAAGTGTTAACTTTTACCTTCTATGGAAAGGTTCTATAAAAAAAAAATGAAGTGGCTGTGTAATAAGCAATACTGAATGCACACACTCCATTATTCAGATGCAGTGCATTTAAAGGACAGTAAAGGCATTCATTATGTTGATATCCAATATATTAGATTAAAAACAAAAAGTGCACTTCTCTTTTGCCAGCTTCACTTTTGTAACTATGAAATTTTACTTACTAAAATCATGTGCGCTATCAGATTTCCTCCGAGCGCTCCAAAAGTGTAGTAAACAAGGGCCTGAAATAAGAACATAAGATATTTGGCCAATTGCATCTGAGAGTAAATGAAAGCATAAATTAAAAAAAAAAAAAAAAAAAATCACAGTTACCTTAGCTTGACTGGAATTGACACCTAGACCAGATGCATAAAGAAATCCAAGAGCCTGAAATTAAAACTACAAGTCAGTACTTATTTTGGAAGTTTCAAGATTATTAGGAATGATTACAAAAGGTAAAAATACAGAAATAGATACTTTTAGTTATCATGATGCTGAAGACTTTTCTATCTAATTATTAATATCAAACTGGAAAGTGGGGACATGAGTGAAGTTTGATCTAGTGGTTCCTAGATCAGTTTCTGGTTGTTAGAACACTAGATCAAAAGCATTCTGAAGATTCTCAGAAGATAACAAACATTTTTATTCTGAGTTATGAATTAACAAAGCTGGACACTAGCTGGGTTTTTTCTTGCCACAATCAATAAGAAGGAACTAAGCGCAATCTACTGCTGTCATACCTTTTATGTTTGTATAACAGATACAAGGAAAGGTATACCCAGGATACATATACAGCACCCACAGATGAAGCTAGTCAAGAGAAACCTTGTGTTTTGCATCCATGAGATGCATGCCTGCTTATAGTGGATTCTACATAAACACCCATTTAGAGAAGAATTCAGGAGACCCAATAACTGAAATCTGCTGAAAAGTCACTTAACTTCTGTTCCTCAGATACCCAAGTCTGTAAAATAAAGAGATGTTTTTCAAAGACTATTAAAGAGCTTGTTGGAACAGCACCACAACATTTTGGAAACGCTGAACTTACTTCCTACTGGTTCCAAACAAAACATTGATGGCTCTTCAAGCATATCTGTCAGGATTCGGGGCAGGGAGCATAATATGAGGGCACGTTCCTTGGGGCTAAAGGAGCAGTTTCATTGTTTGCTCTGCTTATTTTTTAAACAGTTAGTTTGTTGTTGAGTAATAGGCAGACAAGGTTCTTTGAGTGAATCTGATATCTTTTATTAGACCAACTTAAATAGTTGGAAAAAAAAATTTAGCAAGCTTTCAGGTTTAAAAACCCTTCATCAGGCTGAGGAAGTCTCTGCAGTTGGTGCTGGGTAATCACACTTTGCACTGATAAATATAAAGTTGGAGTTCCAAGGGCTGTTTGTCTGAACTATTTTTATTCTTAATATTTACATAAGTATTGATCTGGCTCAGCCACCTGTGACAGCTGGGTGGCCCAAGTCACAAGGTACAAAAGATATAGTTTCATATACAAAGATGTTACACTGTTTGTGCCTTCAGATTAGGACAGACACGTTAATAAATGTGAAAAACATCCACCTTATGAGGTTAATAGGTGCATATTTTATTTATAGACGTAAATAACTTCCACTGATTTCCATTACACTAAGCAGTGTTTGTACAGTATACTGTTTTTGGTAAACTCCTTAAAAGACTTAACCAGAAAACACTTGCTCCGGCTTTCTTTTAGTTACAACTGGAGTGTATGAGAAGGAGAGAAAGTAGCAGAAGTGGGAGGAAGGCAAATGAAATTAATGGAGAACAGGGAAAAGTATCCAGCAAAAATCTGAAGTGCCAAAATGAGGTCTTCCTCTAGAATTGGGAATGTGTGCCTTAAATAAGTGTATCTTCAAATACAAAATGCTGCTATTCTGAAACCTTCCCCCTTCAAACTGAAATGTCAACACATTTTTATTTATATCATGATGTGTGCGACTAAACAAGCAATTCTGTTCCGCCCAACAGCTGTCGAGATTCTCAATGAAATCTATATAACCTTGAAAAAGGCATAAATATCAGCTATTAGTTATATTTATGTAAATCCCTCAGCCAAACGGAGTGCCAATGACCTCAGAAATTCAAAACAGTCCAGCTGACATTTTTCAGTTGTAGCAGGGTATAAGTCATAAAATTACAGGCACACTGCTAAGTGAAGTGACAGGGGTAAAATGAAGCAATGAAAGCAAGGCTGTAAAGCTTGGTGTTAATAGTTGGTTTAAAAAATCCTTCTAAGTGGTATTTAGTCAAAAGACCAGTTCTGGAGCTCAGATATTTGTGTAGAACACAGAGCTGCTGACCTGACAGTCTTATTTTTTTTTCAAAGAACAAGTACTGCCCATGAAAGAGTAGGGTAAATTTTGCAGCTGATGCTTCTTGCCCTACTCTGACAGTGAAGAAGAGGAGCCTTCACAGCTTGTTCAGATCCCTATCCTCTGCAAAAGCTGAAGGCATACATACCATTTGTCCTTTAGGAGACCCCTCCTCTGTCAGCTTCTCAAATAGTTCTTTAGCTGACTGGATGTTTTGCTTCAGGTAATCCCCAAACAGTAATGCATAAGACACTTTCTCCATAGCCTTGGTATGGTTCATGTCAGCTGCTTTCAGAAGATATTGATATGCTCTTAAAAAAAGGAGGGGGAGAGAGAAAGAGAGAGGGAGAGAGAGAAAATACAGGTTTAGTCACTTTTGAATAAACAAAATAGGCTATTTTTCAAAGCTAAGGTACAGATAAAATCTTTCATTCCTCCACTTTGTCTTACATATATCTAATTAGCATATCATTTGCTTTGCAAATACTATAATGTCATTCAAAAACTCAAGATTAAACTGCTACCAGTTAGAAATATATACAATTTTTTTCAGTACCCTATGCACATTATTCATTACATTTTGTAAGAATTCCCACAGTCAGACAGTATAGCTCTTCTGTGATGGTAATGCAAGATCTACTTGGTACAAGTTTTTGTGACAGAACTGTTGCCCAGTATCACCAGTGCTCATCCATTTAAACGAAAGAGAAATCAGGCAGCAACCAGAGAACCTCTGTTCAATTAAACAAATGCCAAGAAATACTGGGGTAAAAGAATGAGCTATTATTTAATGCTGTTGTAACAAAGTGGTCGTGTTAATCCTGAAAAAATCTGTTTGAAAAGGCCTTTCTGCAAAGTTCAAGATGAAGTTTATAACTCATCAAATATCAAGAGTAGCTAAGCTAAGACCCTAAAAGGTACCAATACATAATAATCATTAAAGCTGTTAAACAACACTTCAGTATTTGTAAGATACTGAACTCTCATGAACAGTCTTGCTTGTTCTTTTTTTCTCATTTGTTTTCCTCTACAACTCTTTCCTGTTCTTTGGACTTCTTCCTTTTCTTCCCTTTAAAAGTCTTCAAGCTTGCAGAAGTTTCTCTTTCTCTTGTAGCTTTCTGGGTATTTCAAATCTAAGGTGTCTAAAAAGTAACTCGTTGTAATAGTGGCAATTACAATGAAGACTAATCAGTAGTTTGCATTTATATATACTAGTATCATGATGACCAGGGAACATGAGACAATTGGCACAGAGGTAGGGTAGGTCAGTCTGATCTTTTACTCTTAGCCTCTAAAAAGGCAAGCAAGAACCTGAGTGTAAAGAAAAAAAAATGGTTTGAGGATGGATTTATATCTGCCAAACAGGCAGTGAGCATCTTGGGTTTCAGTGAATCTCAAATCAAGTTTTGAGAGTTCAAGTCAGGGAAACTGTTACATGCTGCAAGGGACTTTGGGAGCTTGAGAAGCAAGGACATTGTGGTGAAAGAACTGCATTTGTTAGCATTAACCCAGTGCTTTGATACACAGCGAGTATTACTACATCTCTGCATAAATATTATGAAGAAGAATCTTTTGTGGACCCTCCAGAGCAGTCCTCAACCAGGGTGCTGTGGTGCTTTGAGAACCTTTAAAGAGTGCCACACCATGTTAGCACAGTTAGATGTGCAAACATGATTCACAAGATAAATCCAGAGGATTTCAAACAGGAATCCATAGTGGTAAAAACATTCTGCCCTGTTGTGGGTTTTCTGAGTTCTCTGCAACAGAGTAATTGTTCTATTACTTTTTGTAGTCACAAAATGAGCGAAAGCTAAGAGCTGGCATTTTCTGAGGGATGCCTCGAGTCTAGAAAGGTTGAGAACCACTGCTCTAAAAAGAACAGTCATGAGTTGCTACTCCTACCAGTGTTCTGCATTTACTATTTATCTTTAATGTTATAACTAATTTGTATTAAATTAAATCTGGTATGACTTCTATCATGATGAAAGTCTGTAACCCCTCATTAAGCTGGCTTCTAGCAACACCAAGCTAGGTCACATATTTCTCTTATGAAAAAGCTAAATTAATCTTGAGGAACAGACTTACTCTTTCTTCTGTGCCTTTTTACTGCTCTCATTAAGAATTTTCATCCCAGTCTGGTAAACATCTTCTGCTTCCTGCATTTGTCTTCTCTTATTAGACTGCTCCTCCGCTGGAAAGAAATACAGCAATCAGTGGTGAGATGAAGATATTTTATTACATTCCCATTTCTGCAGTCCCCAAGAGGTGACACTTTACTTGACCACAAGATATTGCTACTTGCAGGGCAAGATAAAGCAAAGACAGTGATAGTAAAATGGGAAAAAAGAGTGTAAATCAGCATTTGCATTTTTATAATCGACTGTAATGCGTTTCTTCCAACACCGCCCCCCCCATTCATTTTACTACCTTGATGTACTTGTCACCATTCAACAGAAAAGGTAAGAAAGGAAGAGAAGGACACTCAGACAGACACGTTCTGGCTTATCTCATTTGCAGAGGACACTGTGGTTACATTTCTATACCAAGCCACTGGCATTAGTGGGAAGCATACCATGAGACCCTTCTGTGATTCTGAAGCTATATCCCCTTTAAGACTGCTTCCAGTCACCATAGATTGAGAAATGGAAGTTATGTGGTGGCTCTCATACCAAGGTTTCCCATAAAGAAGTGGGGGAGCAGGTGTTCATGCCAGGGGGGTCAGCTCTCCTGTCCCTATTATTTTTACTGTGGGAACCTTCTGTTTATGCTGATACTTGTTTGTCTGTATGCTGCCTGGCAGTGGCATCCTGGTTTTATGACTTGGGCTCTCAGACACCAAACTAATATAAATAAATATGATGAAACCACTAACTTTAGTTGATATTCTTTAGATGAATGGGAAAAACAAAAATGCATCTGGCTACTTACTTTCACAGAAGCCCCATTTTTGATCTCTCTTGTAGTCATAGGTTGTTGCACACCAAAGCCTGCCATCTTCTCTTCCATCTGCAGTACATTCTGCATACTCCTTCTCTAGGAACAGGAAGGGGAAGTGGCAGGGCTCACCATCAGCAGTGCCTCCAATGGCTGTCAAAACTGTAAAGATAGCCAGGGATGAGAACTCGCACAGACTTGTCCAACCTGCCACTCACTACATGTCACAAACATTTTTCACGCTTGTGAGTTTTTCTAAGAAATCTATTCACTTGTTTCATTACTGTCAAAAAAGGCTTGAAAAAAGAACCCTTTTAATGCAAGCGGCAGCTTAATATCATCATTGCCAGCAATTTAGAAGTTAAAACTAAAGACAATAACAATTCTGACTACATTCTGTTTCAAGAGCAAGGTCCCCTTCTTTCACCTTGTATCTAAGACAGGGCTGTCCAATTTCTAAGCCCAGCAGAAGCTGTGGGCTGCACCAGGAGCACTGCACAGACACATCCTCCTGCCCAGCCAACACAGCTGTGATCCCCACCACATCCTCCCCAACCAGACCTACTTACCCTCAGCTCCTTGCCTACTGTATTGCCCCACCCCTTTGGACAAAGGCAAGAAGCAGCAGGCAGAAGGGGGGGGGGAGGGGGGAAGCCTTGCAGTTGGAACTGGGAGGGTGGGGAAAGAGAGCCAGGTGACAACCTGGGAGGCATACATTAAACCCTTGTGAGCTGCATGCAGCCAACAGCTGGACAGTCCTGTTCTAAGATGCTGTATTGTGAAAATGTAATACAATACCGACCAAAACTTCCTATCAAAACAAATACACCCCATGTTACTCTCCCTCTGAAGAACTGCTAAGAGAACAAACATCATAAAACAGTTCTCAGTCACCTTTCAGTTATGTTATTACGAAACATGCTCAAATACTAGTGCAGTATACAGTGTCAGAACCTTTAGAGAACAGACAGTTTTGTTAGGTGTCCTAGATAATACAGCTAGAATTTGTAAGTCAAAGTTGGTTTCCCCCTGTTTACTGCTTGTTCATATTAAGCATTTCAGATTGATTAGATTCATATATGATCTGGACAGTCTACCTGTATACATAGTACTAAAGTGCTGGAGTTGCTGGCATCATAGGGAAATAACTGCATCTAAATGGCACCTCATTTTTATGGGATTAAAACAAAATTATAAATTTTCATAAAAAGCTTTTTACTTTAGTAGTGTTGCCAACTATCACAGCTGTATTTCAAGTCTCATTGTGTGTTTTTCTTGAAGTTCCAGCTTCTGGATTCATGTGACTGAGAACCTCAACCTATTTAAAAGTAAAAAAGTTTCTTGCCCTCGTGTTTAGTGAGAAAGCTTGAAAGTGCGATCCCAAAAGATTAAAAACCCGGAGCACTTTTAAACATCTCCAATTTTATGAGCTACACATTATTTTTTTAATACTATTGGCAAACAAACCCCGCATTTTTAGGGTAAGGAAGACAACTGGTTAGTAGATAAGGTTGTAGTTCTAAAATTACTGCAGGCAATAGATTTGGATAATCTAATAAGTCTCCCTCACTGGGAAAACCACCGAGTATGAACAAGCTGGTTGATTGCCAAAAAACACACTGACCAGTGGCAGAATGGCTTTCAAAAGTGAACACACACACACACACACACACACACACACGGCCAGCTTGCTTCATCAGCTATGGTACAGGTTGTCTAAGGCTTAACAGTTATGCACAGCACAATCATGCACGACTTAAGCCACAGGCAATATACATAATTGAACTGATTAGCTGCATGGTTATCTAACCAAGTATCAAACTAAAAAGTGATAGGATACTCTGACAAGCAAAGCCCAGTAACCCCAGACATGACCTGTCTTGAGAAGATGAGATTTTTGTCTAAGTTGCAACGATTGTTTTGGAAGGGCCAAACTTTTTTTCCCCCATATTCAGATAAAGGTTAAGTGAATTTTTGGTCTGGCCCATCTTTAAACATACACACTCAAAATATATACATGACCACACACAAACTGCAGATGCTTCCTCAGCCTGATGAAGGGTATTTAAATCCGAAAGCTTGCTAAGAAGAATTTTTCCAATTACAGTAAAATCTCCGGTAACCGGCACCTTACAAGCTGGCATGCTCTGTTAACCAGCATGCCAGCTTGTAAAGTAAAGTGAAACCGGAAGTGCCCACCGTGGCACTTCTGGTTTCTCTGAGCCTCCATGGCCCGGGGGCATAACAGGCTGTGTGGGGCTGTGCAGGGCCCGCCTCCCTGTCCCACGGGGCCCACAGGAGGCGCAGCGACGCCCTGGACACAGCAGGAGAAGCAGCGGCCCGAACAAGCAAGGACACCTGTTCGGGCCGCTCAATTAACTGGCATATTGTGTTATCCGGGATCCCCCATTCCCGGGGGATGCTGGATAACAGAGGTTTTACTGTATTTGAGTTGGTCTAATAAAAGATATCACACTTACCCAAAGAACCTTGTCTGCCTTTGTATTCTGTATATTCTTAAGAACAATTATTCCCAAGGGCAGTTTTACATATTGTGATGTTGAAGTCAGAAGGGTCTTTTGTTGATATGGCATAGTAGTAAGAAATGGAAAGAAACCTGGGTTAGGGTGGAGGCGTAAAACTGAAACTAACCCGTCTCTCAAAAGTCGCATAAATAGACAAAAAAGTTTTCATATAAAAACTTTTATGTCACCAAGTGTTTCCTAGAGGTGCACTGATACATCAATCTGATATCGGATTGGCACCAATATAAAGAACATTTTCTGTACTGGAAATTGGCCTGATGCAGCCAATAATTTGTCTGATAAATACCTGTGCATGCGTGCAGCCACAGCACAACACGTAGGCAGTGAGAAGCAGAGCCGGCAGCATGGAGAGCTGCCTGCAGCTGCTAAGTCTGGTGTGGTGGAAGGGGAGGGGGAGGGGGAAGGGACATGGGGGAGCAGATCAAGGTCTCCCCCCCGTGGTGAGGGAGGGTGTG